GGGGGGGAGGGAGAGAAAGAAGGAAGAAAGGAAGGAAGGAAGGAAGGAAGGAAGGAAGGAAGGAAGGAAGGAAGGAAGGAAGGAAGGAAGGAAGGAAGGGAGAAAGCTGAACAAAATCATGAGGTGCTGAGTTCAAGTCCTAGTACTGGCAAAAAAAAAAAAAAAGGAAGAGGAGGAGGAGGAGGATGTGGCCTAGGTCTTACTGACTGGAATGACTTCAATTCAACATGGGCTTTAGTTTTTTAGAACTTAATAGAACTTCCTTCAGAACTTACTTTATAAGATTGCTCTGATAATTGAGTAATTTATGTGAAGGCATTTCAGGGTAAATGAGGTAAAAATTATCAGAGTTGTTTAGAAACATATATGTATATTTTGTATGTATATGTATATTTTGTAGCATAATCCAGAAAGCAAGAAACTGATAACAGAGGATAGCAAGCAAGATAACTGAGGGGGTGAAGCTGGTCTTGGTCTTGGACTCAACTATTATTGACTTGTTGGGTGATCTTTAGGATGTTAGCACAACTTCTTGGGATGTAATATCTACCCCCATTCATAGAAGGTCAAGTAATGTTGATGATGTTCCCTGAGACATTAAAAATTCTATTTACCATCAAATTATCTTAGTTGCTGCTGAAGCTGCAGATGTTTTCTGAATGCAGTGTATCCCCAATAGGCAGTCCCTCCTAGATAGCACTGGAAAGGCCAGAAAGGCTGACAGGCAATCACACCAACTGTGTGAAGAATAGACTTCTCTGTATGGAGAGAAACTGCACAATTCCATCTAACCCTGTTGATAATGAATCTTTCCCATTTTCTGGTCTGATCTTCATTTTCCTCACTCAGAGGACATGTATTTTCCTCAGCAATCCTCCTCCCCCCCCTCCCCCCCCACACCCCTGTCTCTTGATTTTTAACCTCTTCCTGTGCCAAAGAGAAGGGTCAGCATTGTTTTACAGGATAAGATAGAGAGGTAGGTAGAAACACTGCTTCTAAAAGTACCCCAATGACAAAATTTGCTGCTGTTTTAGCAGCCCAGGAAAAACCCAGCTAGAATAGGAAAGAAAAAGTATAAGAAGTATTTGCCTGGCCCCAGTACAGGCTCACTAGTTAAAGCTGGGGCATCTTGACCTATAAGGATGGCTTCCAGAAGAATTTCATGAGCTTTGGGCAGAAATCTCTACATCTACCAGCTACTGTCCCCTCCCCCGCCTCTTCCCTGTCTCTTCTCTCTTTACTTACTACTCATAATAGAGTTTAAGTTTCCAAACTGGTTCATGAGAAGGAGTTGGAGACCAGGCACTAATAAAATGCAGAAAAACAAACTGTCACCACTTATAAAAGCAGTGAAGGACTCTTCTATCAATTTCTTCACTTGCAGTTCAGTTTTTCTGTCTCTAATGCTCAGTTGATGTTTACTAGGAAATCCTCTATGCTATGTATTAACATTTTTTTCATGACACCATTTATTTCATTAGCATATATAATTGAGAGTAGGTTACACTATTTACTTTGAATTACATTAGCTGCAGTATAATCACCTGCTTTATTGATCATTTGAAACTTAAAAAAAATAGGTTGAATTCCCTGTGAATTCTAAGTTATTTCTCAGTGTAGATTTTTATCTTCAATTCCTCTGTGCTGAATGGAACAGTTTAGCTTTTCTTAAACTGGCCACAGATTCTATACTAAGCACCTGACCTCTTTAATTGCCAAAACAACTTCACAAGACAGGTACGTTCTGTACTATTCTCAAGTTATAGATAAGAAAACTGGGGCTTGGACAGATTAAATAACATTCCCAAGTCACTCAGCAGAGGAAATGGAATGCATATCTCCCTCCTGTCCCCAAAAGGATCATTTTCCAGTGAAGGGGCCTGTCCTTTGTGTTATCATCCAGTGCCCACTTGGCACTTCGTGTCCCCTCCTAACAACCAAACTTGCCATCCATTTCTGACCATAGACTCAAATCTGGAAAGCTGTACATTATCATTTCGTTATCTTCAGTTTTCATTTCTTCACTTAGAGTGTAACCATCAGCAGGCCACATCTGTTTCATATAGAGCTTTGGATGCTTTGGAGAATTGCTATAAGTAATATTCAGGGAAAAAAACCAGACAAGTACTAACCCTCATGCTGAGTGGTAATAATGTTTCAAATCTAGACATAAAATTGTGTAGACCTGACTAATCTGAATATCTACCCTATTTAATCAGACAGTTTTGAGATGCCTCTACTTACCATCACAACACCTTAATAATTATAAAGAACGCCTTCCTTAAAGAGTTCACAAGCACTTTGTAAATGCTTTTCTCATTAATTAGCATACCATCTTTCTGCAGCCAGGAAAGGAACTAGATACTATGTCCTATTTTAAATATGGGACTGCTAAGGCATTGAGTGATGAAGCAGGTTGCCCCTAGTTCATTTGCTGACAGGGCTGAGACTAGAGTCCTCAAAGAGGGTGTCACCCTGAGCAGAAGACCAGTAAATCTACCAAGGGCCATGGCAAGCACTTGGTCCAAGTCCTCATTTACAGAAAGCAAAACAAACCCAGAGAGATGAAAACACTTAAAAAGCCCAGGGTCACTGGAGTAATTAATGGCAGAACTGATACTACATGCATACCAACTATGCACATATATAAGCTATGGAGGGAAAGATGACAACTGTGAAGAATCAATTTATACTCAGAGTAGAAGGGCGTGAAAGTAAAGTGCTTTCATCAGTGACCTTGCCTGGAAAAAAAAAAAATCACTCAGTCAGGGGGTGAAAGTTTTGAACAACAAGAGCATTTTTACACAAAGTTCACAACCTTATAGCAGCCAAAATACCATCGGGAACTTAAGGTATGCTTCCCATTAAAGGTGACAGGTGGACATGGTTTAAAAGATAGTTAGCCAGCTTATAAATTGGCCACCATAAGGTATACTGAAGCACAAGGAGAGCAAAAACAAGCTGAGTTCAAGCATGTTTACATCTGACAGAAATGTTGCAACCAAAAATAACAGGCATGACTGTCTCTCTTAGGGAATCTCTCATTAAAAAAAAACACTATGCATAGACTGAGCTCTAAAAAATATTGAGATTATTAACAATAAGCCTTCCCTAACTTCTCCTGTTTTCACCCAAAAGTAAAATCCTTTTAGCCCTGAAAATCGCTGCATCATATTGGCCCATCAATGTGGTTCAAAACAAACCTTTTTATATTTGAAAACACAATTGATGAAAGTTCCACAAAATGGATCATGACAATAAAGCATTTAACACTAAGCATGGCATATAATAAGCACTCAATACGTGCCTTTTGTTTTTATAGTTCTTATTACCAAAACATGTCAAACCTCCTCTGTTTCATAATGGATAAAAATGGAACCATGGTCAAAGTACATATTTCAAATAGAAGTTAAGTGTAAGAAGTAGATTCCTTGTCTTGCTGCATAGCACAGATGTTGAAATACTATTCTAGGGAGTTTCACGCTTTAGGTCAGATTATGGTAGAGTATAGAGAAGGGATTTTCTACTCTGAGGCAAGTGCCTAACTTTGACAATCAGTATTGAGGTGGGGGAGATGTATCAAATACCTTAATATAGTCTATCTCCTTTGTCAAGAGCAGAATACTTCTTGTCATCATTTAGTGACTAAGCATTCTTACCTACCTTATTGGTTTTAACTAGTTTGATCACTTGGTTTCTGAGCCAATAGCAAACTAAGACAGTACACAGAGTAGAAAAGAAGAACTTCTGCCAACAGGCTAAGAAAAAAAAAGAGGCAGAAAAACTATTTTCGAAATTGACCTAAGAGTTCAAACCACATATGGAACCATTCAATGGGGGAGAGGGTGTAGCATTGTAATAAGAATACCATGCAAGTATTCCCACACCACTGTTGGTGGTCTGCAAAGTGATTTCATATGCACTCTATGTCAATACCAGTACAATGAGGTAAGTAAAATTGTGTACCTCGGAAGCATTTGGTGATTTGTCAGTTTACTGTATAGTGTGTTGATGCTTAGACAGGACCACTTGGCTCTGAGATCATTATACTGTCCTTACCTACTCAACTTAACACACCTGGGAGACCAGTCTGTAGGTCAGTGCAGCCAAGACAGAAGAGCCAATGAACTCTAAAGTTTCATTTAGGAAGATTTCTGCCTAACACAAATTAAAATGGAAAATGTAGTTCTTTAAGAATGACTTATTCTTTTATTGGCAAATAGTTGACAGAATTAAATTCAGTAATGGGTGCCTGTACTTGCCAGAACAGTGCAAGTGGGCAGTTTACCTTTATAACTTATATGACCAGTCTTCTCAGTTCCCACTGATTGCAGGTCTTTTTTTTTTTTCTTTCTAATTTCTTGGACAATGTTAATTGGAATCCATTAAATCCTTAATGATGACACTGAAAATGACTCTCTTAAAAAGTGGCCCTTGCTTCTCTCCCAGAATGACTTTGAAAATACTAGAAGAGGGGACTATCTTATCTCTTTCCAAGAGAGCCGTTTTAGGACATGAAGAAATGGACCGTAGAGTTTCTCGTGTTTCTCTTGTCTCTGTGAGAGCCCAGGAAGGCCTGGGTCTTTCCAATCATGGATGAGATTTCGTTTAATTTTTTAAATTTTTTTTTCTTTTTCTTTCTTTCTTTTTTTCTTTTTCTTGTTGGTGTTGTCTTGTTTTTCTGTCTCTTCTCTTCCTGCCTCGGCTCTGTCTCCCTCCATCCGGCTCTGTCCTGCCTGCTCTCTCCTCCCACCTCCCCAGGTGAGAAGCCCCACCAATGCAGCATCTGCTGGCGCTCCTTCTCCTTAAAGGATTACCTAATCAAGCACATGGTGACACACACCGGCGTGAGGGCCTACCAGTGCAGCATCTGCAACAAGCGCTTCACCCAGAAGAGCTCGCTCAACGTGCACATGCGCCTCCACCGCGGGGAGAAGTCCTACGAGTGCTACATCTGCAAGAAGAAGTTCTCCCACAAGACGCTCCTGGAGCGGCACGTGGCCCTGCACAGCGCCAGCAACGGGACCCCTCCTGCAGGCACGCCCCCGGGGGCCCGCGCCGGCCCCCCGGGCGTGGGGGCCTGCGCCGAGGGGACCACCTACGTCTGCTCCGTCTGCCCGGCTAAGTTTGACCAAATCGAGCAGTTCAACGACCACATGAGGATGCATGTGTCTGACGGATAAGTAGCCCTCTTTCTCTCTTTCCTATGAACAACACGACAGCAACAACAACAACAAAAGAAACAAACAAAAAGCTATGGCACTAGAATTTAAGAAATGTTTGGGTTTCGTTTTTACCTTCTGTTTTTGTTTTTGTTTTTTTTTGTTTCTGTTTTGTTTATTTTGTACTACATGAAGAACTGTTTTTTGCCTGCTGGTACATTACATTTCCGGAGGCCTGGGCGAACCTGCGTTCCCCGGCTCTCCCTCGGATGGTGGCCTTAAGGCCTGGTAGTGCTTCAGGAGGTCCACTGGTTGGATCTCTAGCTACTGGCCTCTAAATACAACCCTTCTTTACAAAAAACAAAAACAAAAAAAAAAATCTCTAAAAAAAAAAAAAGTAAAAAAAAAAGTTTTTTTTTTCACTTGTGAAGAGCACTACAAAATATATAACAAAATCTAAAAGGCCTACTGTCTCTAAGTACACCGCTTGCAGTGTTTCAGTGGACATTTTCACAATTCTGGCCGCTCGGACTTCATAGTAACCAGTTAAAAACTGTGGAAAAATCACTTCTGGTTGAAAACCCAGAGGAAAGGCCCTGCTGTTTTCCACCTACCACCATGTCTGATTTCACAAAAGGGCTGTGGGAGGGGTGGGAGGGGGCTCAGTGGTGTGGGAAAGAAAATGGCATGGCAGGCTTCTTCTCCCCCCCCTCATTCTGCCCAGTCCTAGCTGGCCCATCTCCTCCACCCCACATCCCCTGTCAGCAGAAGCCCGGAAGACTTGGACAAGCAACAAGCAACAGTGGCTATCGTATTTATTCAGTGTCTTCGCTGAGCCACAGCCTCAGCACAATCAAGAGGGACTTTCATGAAAGGCAGGAATGCAGATAAAACAAAGATATCAGAGATTTGCACCTATGTTTCTAGGTACAAGAGAAGGATTATTTCCAACAATCTTTGCAAAAAAAAAAAAGTGTCAGGATATATTCTTGTGGAAGAGAAAAAGAGAGAAATGGAGGGTGGGGGGAACAATAAAATGTTCTTGAGGCTTTTTTAATTCAAAATTTTATAGAGGGCAAAGTGACGTTTACCAGATAGAATGCTGATTTTTTTAATATATTTACAACAGTATTTGTGTAAAAAAAAACAAAAAAAAGTGAGATTGTTAAAAGTAATTTTTTTTTCATTTTGGTTATGCATACACTGCCACCAATCCCTTCTCTTTTATTTTATTTCACACACATATATATATATTTTTTTGGTAAGTCAAGACTGTTAAGGTTAGCGATACTGCTTCCAGATAGAAAGACTAAAAAGCAACTAAAGTTATATTTGAAAGAGAGGAAGGTTATTTTCTTCATATTTTTTTTATTTTTCTTAATTTTTATTATTTTAAGTATTGCCTGGGTTTATGGGGGGCCTCTGTGGGCCCCGCCCACATCCCTGCTGTAATTTGAACTGCTGCTTTGTATTTTGATACGTAGTTCCTTGAATTTTAGCAAGCTTAAGTTACTCAGCTCATTCATCTAGAAGTCTGTTCTTTTTCACAGGAAGGACTTTATCTTTTAGAAGCAGATTTTTATGCGTCTCCAAAATTTCATTGAGCTCTTAGGATTCTATCATTTCTATGGACTTTGCTATTTTACTTGGACGATACACTATAGTAGGTCTAGAGGTCTTGACAAATAGATTTAATTCTTTTGTAGTCAGCTAGGAGGAGGACTTCACAGAACTCTGCCATCCCTGCTCACCCTTCATAACAGCAAGCATTGTTATGAGTAGCCTGTTACAAACCATGATGCGTAGATGCCAAAATTTCTTTCTTCCTTCGAGATATTACCTTCGGACTCTTTCCACCATGGCTAAGAGGACTAAATAAGGTGATCATTCTTTAGATGACGTGCATATATATCCTAGCTTTATTTGGGAAAGTCTTAGGGAAATTTACAATTTCCCTGTCAATATTCACCACTCAAAAGTCCACCAATCTGTTGCATCATGCTAGATGCCCCTCTCTCTTCCTTAGTTGAGATTTCTCTTCTCGGTCTTGATCAAGAAGTCATAATAGAGATTTTTCCATTATACACAGTGTCCTGAAGGGATTCCAATTCAAACATAGGACTTTTTATACCTAACTAATACTCTCCGAATGATTTCATTACTGGGCATGGTTTAACACACTTAAAAAGAAAAGTAAATCTTTAAACAAAGCAGAGACACTAACTTCAATTTCATAATGAAGAAAAAAGAGGATATTTTCATTTTAAAATTACTGTACATTTTAATTTAATTTTCCTGCTAGAGTTTTATTTACAAAAACTGTGCCGCAAACGAAGGAAAATCTTCCAAGGCAAGCAACTCTATAATGACTAAATTGGTTTTATTCATATATTTCAGACATTTGGTTAACTTGGCTCTTTGCCATAAGTTCTTTGTGATGTTTAGTAGTTCGTGCAACTGGAGTATTTGTGAGTTTGATTTAGTCCTATGGTGCTTAATTTGTTGGATATTTTGTTAGAAGTTTTAAGGTAGACTTGGATGATTAACTGACTACTGAGTATCACCCCATTGCAATTTCTGTGAAGAGTCTTGCCAGGAACTGGGGTACCTGTTATAGAAGTTCACTTCAGAAACACAAAAGGTCCATTTTTTTCTTCTTCTTCTAATTTTGCTGTTAAAAATCAACGTTGACAATATTTCCACTTACCACCATTAGAGGGAGCATTAATTAGCTATATCATGGAATTGTTTCCATAGTTTGAAAAACAAGCCATTCAGCCCCTAAAATAAAAAAGATTAGCAATTAGAAAAAAATTAATCTGCAGGAAAATGACTCAGTACAAATGACAGATGGCCAAAAGCCACTTTATACTATTTTCGACCATTCAACAGTAGTATCTTTAAAATAGTCTGTACTCAAACCTTAGCAAAGTAAGTAAAAAATTTATAACAGCTCTAGAAAAGCTAATATTGAGTGCCATTTGAGCCACATTTAGCTGTTTCTCAAATCTGAGATCCATTTGCTATCCTGCTGATTTGTCAGTAAAAAGCTAGGCAACAGGGCGAAAACCCACCTTTTTATTATAGAGCATGTACAGGAAAAAAAAATTCCAGGTGACTTGAAACCCCAGTATCATCCTATATCTCGTAGAGGATATAGGATAATATATAGTAAATCCTACATACTATATCCGGTAAAGGAAGTATTTCTTTTAAAAAAAATGTTGGGGGTCCCTAAAGAATTGTTGGTGAAATAGTATGATTCTTGCAGTCATGGACAAAATAACAACCCAGATTTGTTTGCTAGTACACTTGTTCCTACTGTGCATCTTTTCCTCCCAAATATCTCTCAAACTAAAATAGTTGACAAGTTGTTCTCTGGAAGCAGGAAGAAGCTATATACAAGTGGATCCCAAAGATATTGTCATATAGCTACTGCTGTATGTTTGTCTCTGAAGGGCTCCTTTTTCAAACTGACCCACATTTTAGAAAATAATCCAGTCTGTATCTGTTTCAATCACAATTCAAGAATCACAAATAACTTCAAAAGAGGGAAACATGTTTTGCCTTTTGGTTTTAAATTCTACAATTTTCTTTTATTTAGATCTTCATGCCAGGATGTTATCAGTACTGTTTTTAAAATTCTATTTAGTAGCCAGGAAAATTTTAGGTAAGATGGAAGCAGATGTTCCAGATTTAAGATCTCTTAAAACAAGCACAGAGAGCAAGAACTAGTATAGAAAAGAAAAAAATTAGCAATCTATGATTTCAAAAGGAATTTGCTAAACAACAGAAAGGAAAAAAGTCAAAGGAGAATGTTCATCTGAAAACATTTGGATAATTTATGAAAATAAAATTTCCTAGCACTAAAAACAATGATAATGTCTCAACAAAGTAGGAAATACTCCCTCCTATTATATGTCAATATTTGTGCAAAAGAAATAAAGAGCCCTAAATGTAGAAAGCATAATTCAAAACTAAAGAGAAATTGGAATTCATGGACAGGGTACAGCTCTACATTAAGAAAAAAAAGTGAGAAACAAGACAGCCCCTTAAACATCTGAGATAAGAATCTCCATATCAAAATATTTTTGTTGTATATTTTAAATGAATTTCAAGCTTTCATTCCTTCTAACAATTTTGTAGACTATTCCTCTACCAGTTCCTAATGCTTTCCATCTATTTCTGTCCATTCCCGCCTCCTTGCAACTTAGAGGTCACAATAGCTCTTAAGCTTAGAAACACTTGGATTTGCTTTGTTAAAAGTCATAGAGGTTTTAGTTTATCTGATCCTAATATTCTTTAAGGGCCAAGAAAATCCTTTCCCAACCCATAAACAGGGAGAGTTTGCATGTTAAAAGATTTCTTCTGGTATGTGAATTTCTCCTTTAAGTTCTATTATCTTGATCTGTGTGTACTTCCATCACACAAGCACACCAGCAGTATGTTCCCGGTTCATGCTCTCCTGAATCAATTGTTTGCCCTCAGCCTACAAGTTAAAAATGAGGTGTGCCCTAAGATCCCAAAGAAAACATAGAAAAGACTTACGTTGCTTTCTTGTTGCAAATTCTCATTTCTAATGCCTGTTGTCCTTAGGAAAGGGGAAAATGTAGTAAACCTAGCTAGGATGCACAATAGAAAGATACCCATCCTTTCCTGTTGTCACTGAAGATGTAATTTAATTAGATGGGGCTAGGCACAGGAGATACATGATTCTGCAGGAAAGGGTATCCCGTTGATTGCACCAGGCTGCCTCTGCTATGGCCAGCATACTGCCACACAAAAGAAGAAGAAGAAATTAAAACAAAATGCAACACAAAGCAGACACAACCTGAGATGCTTTGGGGGCTGAAGAGAACATGAGGATGCCCTCCTTTCTACTGTGACTTAACTTGTAAAAGAGATCTTCTAAAAGAATTCTTCAATTTAGTTACGAGTTAAAGTCCAGGGTAATGGAAGCTCTGGAGAAGAGAACAAAAGAATTGGAAAGAAAATATATATTCAGCACCCAACAATGCTAAACCAAAAAGCAGCCAATCACAAAACTAGAAAGTTTGGCAGAGGTATTTAAAGAAATCTTTGGGCTTTTCCATGGGAAGGGCCGACAGACTTTCTTTTGAGTGATTTCTGGCTCTAAGAAACCTCTTTACTCACAAAAAAGAACTTTATTTAAATGACCTATTTGGTCCCCAAGAAAAAGAAATTAAAAAAGAAAAGATACTAAAGACAGAACCATGTGACCTGGTGACAAACAAAAAGGAGGGTACACTAGAATTTCAATAGACTCCCTAATACCATAGAAAAAGCAGAACAACCCAATGCCTAGGACTGCAGACTGTCAGTGTGTAGGGAGTGAAGAGAGTGCGTGAGTTGACCCAGCTACAGGCTTTCTGAGGCTAGCCTTAACTTCCCAACTGAGACCAGGGCAGCCTCTTTCTCTTCTCAGTATTTTCATGAAGAAAAGGGCTGTTCTCTTAGTTACATGGGGCAAACATTCAAAAGCAATCTCTGCCCTGGTGCTCAGGCTGCCTAAGGGAGGCAGAAAAAGGGCACAGAAGAGCTCTTGCCCTTGAAAGAGACTATTTTCATACTCCCAAAGGCTTTCTATGTCCAGTTACCATTTCTGATAGCTCTTAATCCTCCGCTAGAGGCAAAGCAGTGGTGACTCTGTATTTTTGTAAGCATACATGTGGAAATTACTAATCCAAAATACTATTTGAGTGTCAAGATAATCAGCCTAACCAAAATACCCCAAAGATTTTTCTCCATCTCTCAAGATTTTTTTCCTTGAACACTGCATCCATAATAGTCAATGATGCACATTAGCAGATGCCAGAAAATGGTCATGGGACAGTTGAATTTATTTACATTCTTTTTTAGGGTTTGTAGGCAAATATGAAGGCTGAATGGCACACGTTCTTTTTTAGAACTACGTATTTCCTCCTCTCTGAATGTGGGTACAATTACCCTGGGTTGAAACCAAAAACATCATCTTTCCACACCACTGACTGAAACAGCCTGCCCATTCCACTAGCTGCCTATGGTCTCACCTGTTTCTCCATAGACTAAAACCAAATGTAAAGTAAACTCAGTTAAAGTATTTTCCAAGAAGCCACTTATAGTGTAGAATTATTGCCCTAAATAAGAAAGTCCTGG